CCCCAAAACCCCAAAACCCCAAAACCCCAAAACCCCAGGTTTACCATATCATAGATGAAAAGGACAATTGTTTAAAAATACTTTAATTTCATTATATATATTTTTTGGATGATCAGTGAGCACCAGCATTGTTTTAACTTTTTGGTTTTTGAAAAGCGATAAATGACCCGCCCGCTAATCCCAAGAAAAACCCAATCAGCTGTAGATGATTAGGTATTTTCCCAAGGAATATAACCTCTTACAAAAGCAAAAAAGCACTTTGAATTTCTACTAGAGCAGATGCAGGCCCAGCTTTTCCATGGACTAGAGCTTCATTAAGCAAGAATATGGCTGACGAAGATAACAAGGATGCACCACTGACTCCAAAAAAAGTTCTAGCACTTAGATCATCAACCATAAAAACAAATATAATGGCAATAATGGTGGCTTATATCAGACAGCAGTCCGCTGTGTTTTACTTTGAAGACAAGATCTACTTAACTTGCATAAATCTGGCAAATACATTTGAAGCGACAAACATATTAGTGTTTAAAGCTGCTAATCCAATAGGAACCATAATTGACATCGGTTCAACATCATCTGAATTGCTGTTATTGTGATGACTTGTATCTTAACTTAGGCTGGTAATAACAATAGCAGCAAATATTATGATCATTCCAATTATGTGTATTTTCTTGACAGTCTCCTTGAATAGCAAGTAAAACATTATTGAATTCAAAAATGGACAAAGAGCATAAATGTTTATAATCAGGGAGAAATTTATCTAAGCCCTCTGTGACGTGTAAAATGCAGCCATATGCACAAAGTATGCAGTCAGCATCACCATAGACCTAAGTAGAACAAGAGCTATAGTCGATTTATTGATGCTAATAGTGTTTTTGGTCATGCTCAGATCGCTTTAGTGATGCGACTAGATGTTTTCCGAGTAGCCTAGTTTCTCTCCAGCGCTGCTGCCATTATTCTTGAGATTAATTCGAATTTACTCTGAACACCTCAAGTATGAAGAGGCTTCCTTGACCCAGTAAGACCCATATTTTTGCTTTGTTTGATAAGCAAGACTCATGTGAATTGAGAATGCTGTGATGAAGTACCCGACAAACACTGGCAGCAATATCTCTATTCTAAAACCTCTATTTTTGTTTTCATCAAAGGCATAAACTACTTGCAATACCAGGTTTTAAGTAGCATAGAATAATCCAGCACCAAGTGCAAAGATAATATACATGTACTTTCTGGGCTTCTTTACCTCTTCATTTGGGACTATCTCCTTCTTGGTAATCTCAGTGGGCTCAAAGTCAAAGTCCAGTTTTTAATTATCAGAACCTGATCCACTCTCGGGACTTGAAATCATATTTAATTCAATTAAAATTATAGCTTTAAATTATTAAAATCACTACACTATAATTGTGTCACGGGGTTTTGGGGTTTTGGGGTTTTGGGG